ATCAAGAATGATCCGATATTAAAGAATTATGAAAAAATTGTACAATTATATCTTTTAAACGTTTTACCAAATCTTAAAGAATGGGAAAAAGCAAATTCGTTTCTTAACAAGAATACTATTATTGATAAAGAACGTAAACAGGTAATATAAATATATATATATTTCTCTCTTTCCTCTATGTTATGATTTATTTCATCCTTCGTGTGCGTGCGTGCGAGTGAGCGAACGAGCGATTAACGAATGTTATTAATTGAATTAGGTATACGAACAAACTCTTATTAGAATTAAAGAAAGATCAAATAAATCATTATCATCTAAACATCAACATCATAAAGAAAAAATTTCTAATGGTCACTTTGGTCATTACATTAATGATAATGGAAATAGATTTTTCTATCATAGAATGGATTATGAACATAAACAATCATTATTATCATCATCTGATAATAAGAATAAAAAATTAAGAGGAATTCATAATATTCCAAGACAATTAATTAATAATCGATTCTTTATGTCACCTACTGAATCAAGAACATCAATCCTGGGTGTAAGAAAGATGATTCCTAATAATATTAATGATTATGATAATAATAATACAAGTAATAACCATAATAATCATAATTATTATTATAATAATAATTATAATAATAATAGTAATAATAATAATAATAATAATTCACATCATACCACAATTACCGCATCATCAGGAACAGTTATGACGATGATGTTAAATCGATTTAGAGATACATTTTGTGTTTATTTACATCAGGCATCATCAAATATATCAATTCCAAAGATTATTCCATTTTTCATTTTCATTATTTTATTAACTTCTGGATGGAATAAGAATTTTAAATCAAGTTTACGAGGATTTATGATTAATGGATTTGCTAAATTTTGGGAGACGATAAAAGCTGGAACCACATTGACCAATGTTTAAAAAAATTTTTTTAGAATGAAAAGACTTTTTTTTTTTATATAATTATGATGATGATGGTGATGATGATGATGATGATAATAATAATAATAGCAATTTTTTTTTTATAATTATGATAATTGAAAAAATAAAAATCAATATATATATATTTTTTAGATATATAAAAAACAAAATTATATTATTTTGATGTATATAAAATTTCTAATAATTATTTTATAGTAAATTTTTATATCATTATTTATTATAATTATTAACTATAATAATTATTTACTATCATTATTATAATTATTAACTATAATAATTATTTACTATCATTATTTACTATCATTATTTACTTTAATTATTTACTATTATTATTTACTATAATTATTGCTATCATTATTACTATTATTATTACTATTATTATACTTTGGAATATATATAAATGAATATATATAAATAAATATATATATTTTTTCTCTCTCTTCTCTCTATTATTATATATATATTATATATATTAAATAAATAAACTTTCGATTTATTTATTTTTTTTCAATTAAAAATTATAAAAAATTATAAACTACGTGGTACTTCTTTAATAATTATACTTTGAATTATGTCTCCTTCTTTAAATTCTTTAAATCCTTCAAATGACATCCCACATTCTAACCCTTTTTTAGCTTCAGGAATGTCGGTTTTTACTTGTTTCAATGATTCAAGAAATCCTAATTAATTAATTAATTAATTAATTAATAATAATAATAATAATAGTTAATTAATTATTCTTATCGTTATTAAAATAGAATAAAAATCTATCGAGATAGAGATAGATAGAAAATATAGAAATAACAATAATAATAATTAAAAAAATACCTTCCCAAACTTGTAAATCATTTCTCATAATTCGAACTTTTTGATTTTTAGTTATTATTCCATCCGTAATTCTACATCCTGCTATTGATTTAAATTCTTTACTTCGAATATTAATTTCAAATATTTTTAATATTGTTGCTTCCCCTGTAACATGAGTTTCTATGATTGGTGGTAACATCTGACTTAATCTTAATTTTACATCATCTAATAATTTATATATAATATTATGTGTAATGATATCAACTTGTTCAGATTGCGCTATTCCTGTAACTTTGGAATTTGCTTTAACATTAAATCCATAGATTAAAGCTACACATATGTATATAAAATAATAAATTTTTAAAATTAAATTGAAATTCAAATGTTATCTAAATCAAGTTTTTTTTTTTTTTTTTTTAATTAAATAGTAAAAAAAAAATTACATTTTGAAGCGGATGCTTTTATAACATCTGATTCATTAATATCTCCAACTCCAAAATCAATCACATTAGCACAAACTTCATCATTTCCCATTGAATCAAGTGAATTTACTACCGCCTCAACTGATCCACTCACATCAGCTAAAAATAAATTAATTAAAATTAATTAAAATAATTCCAAATCAATTAGAAATTTTAAAAATTTAGAAAAACTACCTTTAACAATAACACTCAATTGTTTAATTTTCTCTTCTTCTGATTCTTGTTCTTTATTATTCTCAAATGGTGATTCCATTGTTGGATATTCTTTAAGTAATCCTCTATGAAACATCCAAACTTCCTTTTTGAAATTTCTAGCACTTGCATGTTTCTCTTCTATTTCTTTTTTACGCTGTCTTCGTTTTTCATTAATTACTTCAAGATCTTTGATTTGTCTTTCTCGTTCTTCTTTTAATAACCTATTATTAACTACAGTTTTGGCGAGTTCCTAAATAATATAATATAATAAACGTAATTATTATTATATTATTATTAAAGTTATCGAATATAAAATATTAATATATATATATATATAAACATAAATATAAATATAAACTTGCTTCATCTTTGGCTTGAAGAACTTCATCACCAGCTTTTGGTAAATTTTTCCATCCCATAACTTTTACTGGTGTACCGGGTAATGCTTTCTTAAGTGATTCACCTTTATCATTTGTCATTAATCTAACTTTACACCAACTTGTACCGGCAACGATATTCTCTCCTTGTTTTAAAGTTCCACGTTTCACTAAAACTGTAGCAACATTTCTAATATGATAAATAATGATAAATAATATGATAAATAATGTGAATAAATATTGTGATAAATGATGTGAATAAATAATGTGAATAAATAATGTAATAAAATAATGTGATATATGATAAATAATATAAATAATAAATAATATGATAAATAATATAAATAATAAA